CTTGCAGCCCTCAACAAATTAATGAAAGTCTTAAATGTCTCCTGAATGTGTCTTTTAATTTTTCAGCTCAAAATACCACAAAGATGGATCATTTAACCACAACTGTATGAGTCCTAATACTGGTCTTGTTCTAAATGGTTTGTTTCAGTTTCTGTAGATGTAAATGCAGTTGCTGCTGTCTACAGTCTGGCAAATGGCTGCTAAGTCTTAATTGTTGTGCTTCAGTAACTATTTCATACTTGTGTGGATGTCTGACAACAGAAACAGAAAAATGTGTGCATGTATTTTAATGTTATCATTACATGTGAGCAAAAACAGCAGGAGAGAAGCAAACAGATGAAAATAGCGACAAAGTTTAAGTTGTACTTTAACATAACAGATGACTTGAAATCCCAATAACCCACCTAGTCCTTGTTTATTGGTTTCAAATCTGTCTCAAAGTTTCCACCCTTTCCACCTGAGGGCACACAATTAGAGCTAATGGTAGCATTAGCCATGCTAGCTGCACAACATGCTAACACTACCAATTTTGTTATTGTGATGGTGAAAGTGGCATCAAAAAAATCTATACAATCAACTAGATCTTCAAGACTTTTGTGTTCACTCTTGGTGCCAGAAGCAAAACATTTAATGAGCTTTGCTGGCTTCTAGCATTTTAGAGTTAGCAGAAGCAGCTACAGAAAGTAACAGCGAGGAGGCAGGCTTATACAAATATTAGCTTGATGACTGTCGGTTTGTTAGCTGTTACATAGCAGCTCTGTCATATTTGTTCTAGTGTGTAAAGGTGGGAGGCTGGCTACTTATGAGGAGAGTTTAAGGAATGGCAAAAGTTAACATCTTCATATCTTAGCAGCTATCACTTTACACCTCTAAGTTAAGAGACACGTTTAGAGAAAAAATTTTTTTTCACTATTTGTGGAATGAATGTGTATTTAGTCCACAAACAATTAATTTGTTTAAGAGACTTTGCTGCACTAAGTGTTAACATGCTGCTTCCTGTCCTGTTTGTCCTCAGCTCACCTGCTCTCTTAGCAAACTAGCTTAGTCCGGATGTAAACACTGCTGGTGAAATACTGCTGAGTCATATTTGACAGAGAGCAGAAACGACACGGTGTCTACATTCTCCAGGTGAGACTTACCGTAGCCGTCAACAGGCGTTCAGCATCTTACATCCTCCTCACAGATTCATTACAAAACTCCTCAGTTCAACATCCTGAAGCTCCACTGTTACCCGGATGTACTCAGTACTTCTTCTACGGTCAGCAGCCGTGTTCCGCTGAGACTGCCGCCCCCTGCTGTCTGCTCGGTAAACCTACAACACACACATTCAGCAAACTGCATTTTACTGAAGCAGCTTCAAGCACATGCAG